CTCTTTCCATGTCTATACAAAAGGCTTTTGGTATTAAGCAGAACTTTGGAAAACTTGAATTACGTTGCTGGGATTTTTCTGACTTCGTTTTACCCATCACTTACTGCATATTCACTGAATATTTTTAAGATCACCTTGACAGCAAAAGAGTTTTATCAAGACTTTCAAACTTAGAAGTGAAATAATAAGGAAGTTATTTGCATTTGTGAGCATTAACTGGGTTATATCTTGCTTCTCTGACCTGACTTTGGAAATTACCTGCAAATTTCCTGGGACGTGAAGTATCCAAATACATCACCTTGGCAAAGATAGTCATTCCTGGGTCACACAGAGCGCACATATTTCCAGCATGACACATGTGGACTCCTTCACAGGACTACAGGAGCTTCTTTTTGAACACAACTAATTTTCCTCTACAACAATAAGTCCTTTCCTTTGTTTAGTCTATTATGGTCTTTTATGTGGATTTACTAGAAGTTAATATGCTGAAATTCTCCATTCTCTTCCAATTCCTGTGCCATCAGCTCATGAGAAACACAAAATAACTCCTGGGTAGCTAAACTAACTCATTTCAGGCTAGTCTGGAAATCTTTTACTACTTCGAGTTCTACAAAGTGAGTCAAAGTGACAAAATTCAACCAGGGGCAGACTTTGCCAAATATAAAAGTGCTGAACAAAAAAGAATTGAAACTTCATCTGAACATCTTTGGTACACCAGCAGGCTCGAGTTTATCTACAGCACTTTTTGCACTTAAAATCTTCAGCCAGCTTTCTGCAAGCATGTTTTTGAGTATGCAACCCTGCCCTCTTTATTATACTTCAAACATACTACTGCCAGTCCACTAATAATTATGTTGATCCATACCAGGCTCAGGACTCATCCTTGCAGAGCCAGCTGTGAAACTACTCATGACTTCTCTTTTGCTATGAGTCTTCAACAAGTTATTCAGATCACCTTAGAGAAAGAACTCTTAACTAAAACAGATTTTCCCATTTTGCATGGGAATGCCATGGAGGATCATGTTCAGTGCTCATCAAGGCCCACTTATATAAGTTACTGCTTCAGCATGCAAAGCTTTAAAGAGCATGTCTGTACATAAGCACCTGCTTGATCAGCTTTTGCACAAACTCAGTGATGTGGGATACAACAAAGACCATACAGACTTTGAAGAAACTGGCCTCGAGGGGGGATGACTGTAGGAAAGGTAAAAATAACTTTTGATCCTCATAGGAATATATGTTTCATGAATGAATGTTTTAGAAGTCTAAATATAGTACCAATGCACACTAAAAGACATTTTATGAGACTCAAACTTCAATTAGCAACATCTTGCAAATAATTACTGGCCTACCAAGTAGCTGAGATGTTCCAGAAGGGCGACACAGATCTCTATAGTACACAATTAGCATTCAAAAAAAGGGATTTCTTTATTCACATGCTTCCACTGGACCTACAGATGTACACAATTTTCAGACTAGACAGCTGCTGGCAACTCTACACCCCACTTTTTCTGAATCATGAATTTTATGGAATCTTTCTGCTTTCTCCACAAAAAACATGCAAAGACAAGTAGATGATTTTCACCCTTTGTCAGGCCAAAAGTATGGTGTCATCTTTCTTTCCGCAGCTATGCCTTCTTCAGCTTTTAAAGCACAAGGAAAGACTTTCTTAAAATGAAGAAGAAAAAAGTCCAAATTTTAAAAAATACTCACTAATTCTGCATTATAAGCCTGGAAGTTCTTGTTTTCTTTCATTTTCCTTCACATATACACTGACTAGATTTGTACCTGCATAAAAACTTCCAGTTGAAGGCATCAGCAACTCCTGAACCAGAACCAAAAGGAGGACTGCTTTAAAATCTAACACACCAGGTGCCAATGTCCCAACAGAAAGACTTACAAAAGTGTAACTGGCACAAGACACTCCAGTTTCTTTCACTGAGGACTGATACAATGCCTCCCCAGCTGTCTGCTTTCATGGGGGGCTGCACACAACAACAGGCTAGGGCAGCACTCAGACCCACTGCTCCCAAAGAGAACTAGAACACTTCACAGCTCTGCTTATCTGAACTTCCCCTGCCTAACCCATGTGCATTTAAAGCTGTTCTTCCAGATCTCTCATCCAAAGTCCTACAGTACATAAAGCTTCTAGACAGTAAGGACAGAGAGAATAACGCCCAAGGAATATGAAGTATCTGAAACTGCACTGAACATGTGAGAAGCAGACTGGATCAGGAAGAGGAACACAATGTGTCAAGTGGAAAAGCCCCCAAAAAGGTTGGGTGTGGAGAACTGGAATCACAAGAACCAAACCATGCAACCAAACCCTGAAGGGATTTTATTCCCACCAGGGAGGTAGAAATAAAAGCAAATGCAACTGTACAGAAGTGAGAATGTGATATAGTAATTAATGAGAAGAACAGCTCCTAAAAGAATTCGGAAAAAACAACAAAACACAATTTTCTATGACAGTAAACAAAGAAAAGATGAAAAAATATATTTTTCTAGTGCTTCAAAACTGCTTAGTTTTTCTCAGTTTCAACACACTTTAAAAAGATTTCCACAATCTACTGCATCTGTAAGCAATTCCAGCTCTCTAACATGTGACATCCGTTTTAGTCATTGTTAGGGAAAATGGGATAGGCCATTTTCTTCACTACCCCAGAACTTTTCCATAGTATTCAGGAAAGGAACACACACTCTGTAAGGTCCTTTCAAGCACAAATGCACATTGTCTACTGGTAATGACAATGTGTTCGTTGTCTTATTTACAAAAATAAGTACTGAGAAACATAACATCTTTTTTATACAGCAGCAGTAACCTCATGTCCCTGTAAGATACAACAGATGCTGTGCCACACACTGAAATTATTCAGGGACCAAAGAATGGACAAAGCCAACTCAGTTACTGGTAATGGTGTTTCCAGTCTCAGTAGGGCTTACAGCACCACGTCATCTTCAAGGCCTCCCTACCAAAATCCTTCTGTGTCAGAGAGGTAAGAAGTTCCAGAGATAGTGCCATGACCACAACACAGATGGCAGAGCACACCATGTGTGATGCTGCACACTGAGCATTGCTTGCTCTGTTGTTACATGGGACACACACAGACTTACACAATTCTAAAAGAGAATTGGTGGCAGAGGGGTGGCTGCCACTGGGGGATTCAAGCTCAAGTTGTACTCTGGATCATTACCTACATAGCTTGAGGCGCTGATCTGAATTCTGCAGCATGAAGTCACAAAGTACTTTCAGACTGGAAAACCAAATGTAAAAGAAAGCCTTCAGTCCTTGCATTTGAGACTACTGTTCAGGCTGATGCAGCCAGGAACACAGGTACATCCTATGGCTGGCTGCTACTGGCAAAAGCAATAGTAAGAAAGGCAAGGAAAATAAAAGCATGCTAGTTGCAAAGAGCATGACTCCAATCCTGATTTTTTTATCTATGTTGCAGAAAAGCTGCAGCAGAATACCCACCAATATGGATAAAATCTTGGCAGTTTAGGTATACGAGGTCAATAAAATAGATTTAATCCAGGAAGCTTGCTTTCTATTTACAAGGGTTCTTCACTGAACAGGCAGGCTAAGAACACTGCACTCACAAAACCCTTGGGAATAGGACAAGGTGCTGGCTTCACTTAAGCAAACTGCAGGAGCACATTTCTAAAACACACAAGCCAAGGAAGGGTATGGTAGGCTGCCATTCCCTCAGACATTACAACAAAGTTTATTTATACAGAATCAAAGGAAACATCAGTGGAGAGCACAGCAATGAAAATGATGACTGAGCTTGACTTCTGACCGCTCTGGCTTTTCTGTCTCTGACCTTTCCACTTAACCAGACTTCAAACTCAGCCTATGGTCTTCATCCTGCAATATTCTGAGAGGACTAGGCATTCTGAGGTGTTGCTGGGATGTGCTGAACAGATTATATGATGAAATCCAGATTTAGGTAACATCTGTGATAGAAACATGTCCACATTGGTTAGTCATTAGCCGCTACAAAGGAGGAGCTGTTACTACTGATATCCCCTTTTTATGTCAACTGATGGTGTCCTGTTTCTCAAACCTATTAATTGTATGCTGTCATATGAGAAACTGTGTCTTTAAACATTTATTATGGTGCTGACACAACTAATCTCTACCTCCAAAATAGTGTGAATAATCTAATTACAATGTAAAAAAAAGAAATTATTGGACAACCTATGTTTAATATTAGAGGCCCACATTATGCATGTATGCAAAGCTGAAACACAAAGTAGCAAACACTACTTTAGCCAGTAGTGCTAAAGCAGTATGAGATTACAGTGAATGTGTAACTTCTACCATATCTGCAGGAACAGATATTTCCTATAAGTATTTTCCAATAAGGAGAAAATATGTCTGCCACATACTTTTTTTGAGGACATTGAAATCCTACATATTAGAGAAACATCTAAAATCAACATTCATTTGATGGAAAGATAAAGGTACTAGGTATACACAAACAACATGCAGTAAGAAAAACACATGAACAGGAGACAATAGTGCATCAGATGAATTACTTTGCAAACAGTCTTACTATACTGCTTCCATACATAATATGTGTGAAATAAATTAGAAATGTTCATTGGGTGTCTTTTTGCCCACACCAGAGCAATGACTTTCAGTGCACTCTACAAAAACTATGGGGCTAACGATCAGCACTTTAAACACTTTGGTTTGCATGTGATCACATACCATTCCTCAGCTCAACAAGCAGTTAACTCACCACTTCACTTATTTCATTAGGACTACACATGTAAATGAAAATTGAACAGGGCAAGTAAGAGGCTCAGAGTTCAGTATTCAGCTTTTGCTTGCTGAAGTTAATGCAGCTTGAAAAACATAAGGACAGAACATTTTAGGAAGCAATAATAGATTAAAAAAAATCATTTAGTTAACTAAAACATTACAATTTGTTTAATAAAATCAGATCACTGATTTATAGTTTGTTTCACTCTGAAATAAACAGTTCACTTACCATATATTCCATGTTGGAAGCAGGTGGGAAGACTTTGCCTCTGACTTGATTATGATAATCAAGAATGGCAATCATATCATTCTGAGAAATGTAGCGCTTCCGCCTGGCTTTGGGAATTTTTGCAGAGTCCAGATGAGCTGCCAAAGCTGTCTTGATGTCAGTGAAATTATTGTCTGACAGGAACAGGTCAGTGGAGTTGGGTAACACTAATGCACTTGTTTCACAGAGAACAGAAAATAAAAGGGAACAACTGATTGCAGCAATTACTGTCATTTTGGGGCCAAAGAGGTACTCTGCTTTAAGTCAGGGCAGCAGAAAGCAAATCTGTAGAAGAGAAGATACTTAAGATGTGATTCTGTACATCTGTGTAGCAAGACAAAGTGAACAAGCAGGCTGTGACCAGAAAAATCATTCTGTCAGCTCAATCATAAAAACAAACCAGGCAGAACACGTGTTGCTGAGCAATTTTCAATAACTGTATTAAGTGATGATGGTCTTACTACAACACACCAAATGAAGTATCATTATGAAGTACATGGTCAGAACTAGTAGTATTCCTGAAATAGTGACAGTGCTATCACACCTTATCAGTCCATAAACCACACTATAGGTCTTAAAGAGGGAGACTGCAAGAAACCTCACATCATGTTTTGCAATGAAATTAAAAATACATCCTCGACTATGCCTACCCCATCGGCATGGACTGTTTTGACACAATGTGGCAGAGATAAACCAGTAGGCAAAAGAAAACATATACAGCATGAAAGGAGGACATCTTAGAAATAGCATTCAAATCTTAAATTCACCAAGTGTGATGAGCATTGATAAAACTGCATGCAAAGCAAACTTATGGAACTGAATGGCTTACCTCTGGATAATACCAAGAAAAAAAGAAGAGAGTCTATTGTTCTCCCAGTATATATAGCACTCTCCTATGTGATGATATGAACCTTTGTGAAGAAGTGTCTCTTATTACAACCCCCCAAAGAACAAAACCGTGCTGCTTGTGAAGCTTCTGGCCAGAGGAGCTGCTGACAGCCTTTATATGTTACAGCCCGTGCGAGCCAGCCCGGGCAGTGTCCCGGCGGGTCCCGCTCAGCCCAGGCGGGCGGGAGGGGCTGCGCGGAGCACACGGCAGCCATTGGGTGGCACCCGGAGGGTGGGTGCTGGGGGGACTCAGTCACACCCCCGGCTGATGCAGCACAAAGAGGGAGCGTGCAAGACCCTCTACTCGGCATTTCCTACCTCTTTTTTTTTTTTTCCCCTCCGTGGCTGGTTTTTTTCCTCATTTCCCGAGCATCATGCTGGCTCGGGAAGCGCTGTTTCACGCAGCTCCACGAGCCCCCACGGCGCGGCGTGGAGCGCAGAGTTTGCAAACCTGAGTTGGTTGTCCCGGTCACAGGAAGCGGAACCCGTGCACCGCCGTGCCCCCGGCCCGGGCCGGCCCGACCCGTGCCAGCAGCGCGGTGTCCCGGGCCCCGCTCCATCCATCGCCGGCGCGGCAGCTGCCCGAGGGCTGGTCCCCCTCCGCTCGCCCCCTTCTCCTCCTCCCTCGCCCTCTGCCCTCCGAGGCACCTCCGAGGCAGAGCTCCGGGCGGTCGTGGCTGTCCCAGAGCAGTTACCTGAACGTCTGCCAGTGGGAAGCTACGGGAGCGGCAGGACCGAAAGCTCCCGCCGCTGCCAGGGAGACATCTGTTTCCCATTAGCTAGCCTATAGCTGGAATTCTTTAAGCGCAGAGTGGTCCAGCCACTCACACAGCAGAGCTAAGGGCATAACACTGAGGCCATGACGAAAGCGAGCAGTGAAGCAGCAGCAGCCAGCAATTGTGTATTGGGGGCTGCTTATGGGAGCTACTCAATGTCAGGCTGACCCCCCACCAGGGCTGGGCGACCTGGGTCAGCCCGTGAAATGAGGCCCTTAAAAGTGCCACTAAGCTGAACTGTTTTGTGACATCATAAAGGAGCTAGGAGAGAGAAACACAACAGGTTTGATATTACAGCAACACTTGGGAGTGCTCAAAAGTTTCGGTAGCTCTGTTAGAGAACCAATATGGGATTTAAGTATTAAGGAAGTGCAGTCCAGTAGTTGGAGCACAGGGCTGGAAGCCAACACTCACGCTCTCCTTTTGGCTCTGCTGCTCACTTGCTGTGTGGCCTAACCCAAACTATTTAATCTCTGTGTGCAATCTCTACAACAGTATAATAGTCTTCTACAGACGTGTCGTAAGGATCAAATGACTAGTGCTTGATAGTGTACTTTGTGATGAAAGGTGTTAAGTGGAACGTATCATAATTAGTTACATTACTGTATGTATGCCCAGCCTGTACAAAACTGCTGCTTAAACTGCAGGTATTCCTTTGCATGATTATACAAGAAACTTGAAGACATAATTTGTCCTTGCAAGACTAGATGTTGGATGAGTCGTTTAATTCAATTTTCTTTCTTCTGAAATGAAGTTCATATTTGTTCGTGTTAATGTCAGGAATTGTCTTCCCATTGTTTGAATACAATAAGAATTCTCAGCTCCTTTGAATTGCCGCAGGTCCTTTGATTTCATCTGAGCTTCAATAAGTTATCAGAGCTTAACATGTCAGGAAGTTCAGGGGGTAGATTTTTCTAGTTAGTCACACTTTAGAGTGGTGTAATTATTTCCTCATACCTCATGGCAGTACTGGAGGCTCTTAGGATACAGGGCACTATACAGAACAGCAAGGATATACAAGCAAATGTGAAAGAGCCATAGCTTTCACATCTCTAAAACTGAGCTGTACTTCCCTACAAACAGACCAGCTTATGAGAAAATTCTTTTATCTCTCTTACCGTCTAATTATTTGTTTCCATGTCAACAAGCAGTCAGTGCGACCAGTCACCTAAATGTTAAAAAAAAAAAAAAAAGATTATGATCAATGCTAATAAGCATTATTGCAAAAAGTTATTGAGAATGTGAAAGGCCTTAAAGCATTAGAGTATCTCAACCCAAGTGTGTTGTACTGGTCAGTTGACAAGAAGGAGTTGCAAATAGTGAAAGCATGAGAGCAACTCTCAGGCTTGACAAGTAAGATAGCAAAGACAATCACACACACATGTGCATTCAGTTTTCTCCTGGAAGAGTCAATCACCAAATACGCAATGAAATTTAGCAACCAAGACCAATGAAGCCACACTAAAGTTCTCATGAAGGTCTGTGCCAAGGAGTGGAATGTCTAAAATGAAGAAGAATGAAGAAAAAACACATCAAAGACATCTTCAAGGAGAAAAATAAGAATTGGATGGAACTATCCACAACATACACAAAAAGAAAAATTTCCCGAGTCTTTAGACACCTCCAAAAAGACAAAGTAAACAATCAGACCTGTGGTAAAATACCATTATGGGCCAGAGACAGAGCATTAGTGAGACTTTGAATGAATCAAAATATCTGTAAACCTAATTAAGAACAGAATGTGCCAGCTGAGATGGCCACAAAATGGTTACTGAGCAGTCTGGAAAAAAATAAAGGGCAATAATTCTTGTACTTAATGTCGGCAAATGTTACCAGTGAGAAAAGTTATATAATCAAGAATGAGAAAGAATGTTGAAGAAACTAAGAAAGAAAAATAACTCAGTTTATCTACTGAAAGACTCAGTTCTAGTACATGGACTAGATTTCAAGGTTTCACTAGAAAATATTTACATTTTCACAGAACAAGTGTTCATGCATAGGAAAAAAAGGAGAAATGTCAATATAACCTATTGGCATAAGATCTAGATTTTGTCTGGGCTGTAAGCCTATTACATAGTCTTGAGTGTACAAAGGCATGGGTTGGAAATAACAGGATAAAAATTTATTAAATGTAGCATCTTTACCTTCACTGCACAATAAAAGTGATGACTCACAATAGTTATGGTTCTTCTGCAGAAGAAGAATCATATAGTCTTCCTTTCATTAAGACTATAAATCCTGAATTTCTGAGTAATGGGTGATTACCCATTGCTCAACAAAGTGGGATGAACTTCATCATGTTGAGTGACATTTATTTTAGTAAATGAATTAAGAATTTATAAAAGCTGAATTATTGTAATTTACGAATAACATATTTACAGCAAAATAATTTTATACTGATTGCTAATATTAGGCAGTTAAGCTTGAAATATTTATTGCAATGTATTTTACTTCTGAATAACTTGACAATACCTGTCTGGGATTTGAGATTCTTTTGATATTATATCTGTAGTGGCAGACTATAATTCATAGAGTCGAAGTCTAAAATGCAGGGGTTTTTTTCCTGTCCTTTATCTCCAAGCACGGTAAAGTTTAAAAAACTCACATATTCATATTTCTCAAATCACATCAGGCACATAACCTGGAAGGTTGCTTGAACAACTATAAACATCATTGATTGTGCTGACTATATCTTAATTACACTGGAGGTTTAAGCACTCAGATTTTATATACATATATATATATATATAGACAGTACTTTTAGTGGCTTCATCTTCAACAGAATCCTATCCAGTATTTCAAACTGTACCAAAGATAAAAGCTTCAAACCAGGAAGATAGAATGAGTATGATATGGACAGCATTATACGTTTTTTCCAAATGAGGTACAATAAAACTTTCACCAAACACAAACATTAATTTCCTTAATATACTGTGTATCCAATGGCACAGGATTGGGTGGCAACAATAACACAACTGGCATATGGAAGACTCATTAAAATATTTCACAGAAATGTTAGGGGTGGAAGGGACCTCTGGAGATCATCTAGTCCATCCCCCCTGACAAGGCAGGGTCACCTAGAGCAGGTGGCACAGGATCAGTCCAGATGGGCTTCAAATGTCTCCAGGGAGGGACACTCCATGACCTCCCCGGGCAACCTATTCCAGTGCCCTGTCACAGTCAGTGTAATGAAATTCTTCCTCATGCCAGGTGGAACTTCTTGTGTTTTACTTCATGGCCGTTACTCCTTGTCCTGTCACTGGGCACCACTGAAAAGAGTCTGACACTCCCCTGAGAGGGCCAGAGTCTGACCCTCTTGACACTCACCTTTGTCATATTTATATGCATTAATGGGGTCCCCTCTCAGTCTTCTTTTCTGGACTAAACAGGCCCAGCTTCCACAGTCTCTCCTCACAAGAAAGTTGCTCCCAGTTTGCTCAGGTTTGTCTGTTGTTACTGGAAGTATATCAATAGCCTAGAAAAGAATTAGTAGAAAATGAGGAACAATTATTTCTAATGAGAGGAAATGCTAATTACATGTTATCAAGAACTCTGCTCTGCCAAGAAATTCCTGCCGAATAGAGTGGATGCTAAAGCGCTGTTGCCAGTCATAATATAACATTTCTTAGAAATGAGGTAACTAGCACACTTCTTGGCACTGATAAAATTAGTGTTCTTCTTACTGACACATCAGCAGAAACCACTAGTCACAAAGAAAGGAAGCAGAAGGGTTAAGAATTTACTAGGCTAAGTGTACTTGTCATTTCAAGCATATATTTTCCAGAGTTTCCTTTGGTTATTGTGTCACATTTTACTACTCTGGGCATCACTTAGGAATATTACCATAACCAGCATAATGAAAACAAATGAATGCATCAGTACTTAATTTTTTAGGATAGATAAATTATAAAACAAAATCTCCCTAAGCATCAGAGTAGCGTCTTCAGTACTTGTCTTGTGTGATCATCATAATCAAACATAAGCGCTTTTTTTTTGTTCTCTCATAGCTCTTTGATGATGTAGTGTCTTTATATGGTGTTTTAAGCATCTCTATAATTGAAAATGGAGTTGAAAAATCCACTTTATACCAATACCAAAAAAAGCAACATTTCTCGCTCCAAGTGCAGAAGTTCATGTTTCATTTCTCCTGGACTGAAGCATCCTCTTTAGAACTTGGAAGAGTACTGAAATGAAAAAGAGAATAATATTTTAGTAGGTGTTTAACATTTGTCATCTGCCAATCAGGTTCTTACTCTACCATTATGTCACTTTCAACTCTTCTAATATTTCTTTTTCTATATAAAGCAAAGCTACGTAGTGACTTGGCACTCATTTTGGAGAATGGGTGTGTATATTCTGCAGTATTTCT